CGCATAATATAATACTTTTATCATGAAATATCCACTGCATCATAAAACCTCATGTAGTAACAAAGCAGTTGATACTGAACAAGTTACCTTCATAAACTTGAGTAACTAGTGATTGTTCTACAGAGTCTGAAAAAAGTTATAAAATATTATTTTTCGTCATCCATTTGTGGCGCCCCTAGCTGGACGGCACCCTTGGCACTTGCCTACACTGCCTACACCAYGAGCCGGCCCTGCCCTTGAGAAAGAAGCCATTAGCAGCTAGCGTCTTGCTATAGGTGTATTTCAGCTTTTTTGGGGCAAAGTGTGGAAGGACACATGGAGCAGAGCTGGGGGAGGAGGAGACAATCTTCTCAGAGTAATTTTAGATTAATAGGATTTTTCTTTTTTTGCTTCACATCGTATTCTGACCACATCATRTGATTATGGTGCTTGAAAGGTTGACTGCAGCAAGATGTTTGACTTTATTTCACAGCGATGAGCCTCTTTTTGTGCTGCTGTCAGTGCTGCTCCACAGTTTAATTGTCTGAGGTTGCAAACTCACATTTCAAGTTTCATTAAAAGGCAACAAGCTCAATTATATAACTAGTTGAGCAGGCTTTGACTTGTGTGTTTTTGTGTCTCTTATTGCTTAAGTAAAGATGTATCTTTTGATAAAGAGATGCATTGGAAACAAAACTGGAAATAATTTGGAGCAAACGTCCTTCAAAATCCCAGAAGTGATAACAAAAATAAATTTGTTATGAAGCAGCAAGTTATGTGTTCACCTGGGTTTAACACTGTTTCAGGCTCCTCTTCCACTCCCCCCTGCCAGCCCAAATTGCTGGCCTATGATGCAATCCGTCATCCCCTGCTGGTTTAATGTTCCCAGCCAATCAGAGCTCAGCAGTAGGAGGGGATCCGGGTCAGCTCCTGCCTGCTCGCCTGCTCTGACTAGGAGGATCATTTTTTTATTTATTTATTTATTTCAATTTCAGGCCCACCCTCTGTTGTCATCTGCCGTTTTCAGTGTGTGTTTTCACATGGAAACGGGAAGAGCAAAAACAGGAAAAGGAAAAAGGTCAGCAGGACTAAAGGGGGAGATGAGAGTGGGCGTTTCTGTGTGAGTCGGAGGAGTGTGTGTTGGTTCTTCAGGGGAACTCAGAGCAGCCATGAAGCCTTCGAGGCTGATGTTCTTCACTGTGCTGACAGTAGGTAGATTCTTTAACAGCTCTGTTTGTTTGACCTGATGTTWGGGACTTTGGTCTTCACAGTGGAGTGTGTGTTGTACAGACCATCAGCAGACTCTACAGGTGCATCCACCTACTGTAACCTTTTATTTGCCTTTTAGTTGAGGTTTAACTTCCTTCCTTTGTCTTTTCTACGCCTGGGCCTTACGGGGTAAAATATCATGTGAGAATCTGTTTCACCATAAAAACAAAAGCAGAGATTTCTACTTTCAATTTGAAAATGATCAACCTTTTATGTGAAGCTCATAGCTGGACAGATTGTTGTTTCACCTCAACACAGACTGTCTGTGAATGCAATAATCCTCAGAATGTTGAAAAATGACTTTTATTGAGGTCACCAGCCCCGTTAATTCTGTTTTACTGTGTGCATTTACAACCRGGGAGGAATTATAACACTTATATTCGTCATGGTATTAGCTGACAGCTGCCTGCAAGATGAGTCTTTTCATAAATACATAATAAAAATAAAAAACCTCCTGCAATCCTGTAAAGACTTTGCCTTATTTCACCCCCCACCCCCCCAGCCTCTAAATTCAAACCTGCAAGCCTTCATTTACTTTAAAGCCTGTCAGTCAACTTGTCACGGTGATTTAAGAGCAAATCATGCCCCACTTAGAATTCAAGAGAGCAGGGAGGAATACAAGGGCAAATCAAAGCACAGTAATGTACTAAAGACATGCATGCATGGTTGTCTTCTGTGTTTGCACTTTGAATCCCTTTTAAAACGATCAATTCTCTGATAAAACTTTAAGATATCAGGGCTTTTGGTTTAAGCCTTTTGTGCATGAGCTAAAYGATTTCAAGTGGAATTTGAAGTGGAAATGACATTTCTGAGATTAGCCTCTCTCACCACCACACAAAAGATGAACCTGAAATGTTTGTGGTTCAGTGTTTTTTTTTTTCAATCAGTTCTCCATAAAAGAAAATGAAGTTAGTACAGTTTTTCTCAATGTGTTGGCA